TCACACACACAGTCACACGCACAGTCACACGATCAGTGTAAGTCCCTGATGTACTCAGCCATTCTGACTGTAGTTTTATATGATGTCTCCTGTATGCACTGAGGGCTGTCCACTCTGTACCACTAAAATCCAATTAGCCATGAAATGTGACAAACCCGCCATCTAATCTAACACTATTTCACGGAGAAGCTAAGAACAGTGATGAATACCACAGGAAATGTAATTCAGCACAGAGATATACTGTATGTCTTTGGAACTGGGTTATAAATAAGATTTTATATTGAAAAAGGTTGTCATTAGTGAACATTACTTAAAATGTCAAAATAGTCATCTTTCATTGACAAAACTCCACCAGTGTCCCACAGTGTAGTGAGTAAAAGCTTATGTCTCAAACCAAACTTTAATAAACTTCACACTTGTACCTTTAGTGACCCCCAATGGCTCATTAGTCCTCACTTCCAGAATACGATCAAATCTATTCAAAATTATGAATCAATGCCAAAATAAGTCTGGCACAGATTAATTGATGCAAATTTTGAGACCTCCAGGAATAAGATATTATCAACGAGTTAAACTAAACCAACTGGACTTTTTGAAGCAATGGGAGTCACAGTCACCAACACAAGCCCTGATGAAGCTGCCTGGTTGCTGGCGAGAAGAGTTCATAATTTCATCAAAAGCCAATACTAGAGTTAGTGCTGTTGTCTCTACAGCCTGTGAAATAAGCTCTTTGGTTTGAGAGATATTATAAATTACAATAAAGTTAACAGTTTTTGGCCCGTGTGCTCTATGCAGTACTGCAGCCCTTTAGGGACTTAACAACCCACTTTCCTCTGGAGTGTTTCTTGGTTACTTTCTGTCCTATTTGCCCCACTCAATTAATCGAGTGAATTTCCTCTCTATGTGGACTTGATTAAGGAGCAGTACCAAGTAATGACTTGTGGGACTCAGTTACAGTAGGTGTTACACACAGACTATGCACCAAACCAGGGCTGAGATGCCCTGCATCTGCACTAGAAACAGGACAAGGTTCAAGTGTGTGAGGAGTACCATATAGCTCAAATCAGGAGGGATGTGATTAAATCTATAACACTGTCAATGCTCAGAATATGAGCTCAGCTGTATTTCACTTATTTGGCATTCACTCGAAAAAGCAATAATCAGATTTCCAGAGCAAGTTACTGGAGTTAAAGAAGAATAGTGTGTTTCTAAGAGTCCCAGATGAGTCAAGGAGTAAATAAGCAAAAAATAATATTGTACTTTGTCAGTACAATAAGGAATGCATCGATCTGATACTGGTATGAGAGATCATGCTGGACTGGGCATCAGCTTCCAATAACCTGGTTGTTCTTATAAATCAATGTACTACTGGTCATAGTTGGCTCAGAAAGTTTCATAATGTTTTTACTTATACAAAGTTGTTCATCAGTTACTTGTGTGATGAATAAAGGCCTATTCATACTTCATAAGAACAAAGTTTGTTTAGGCTCTGACATTTCATATTTCAAAAGATGTTCAGGTGCTGGATAGCCCCGCCCCCTCGCTCTGCTGTTGTTATTACAAACATTTAAGATATTAACTAATTGATAATCTTGTTTATTGTAACATCCCTTTCACACACACACATCTCACATTGGCCTATTAACTAAGTATGAATATCTTACCACCATTTGACTTGGAATAGAAGTCATATCTGTGGACGTTTCCCTGTGTTTGATGAAGGAGTCCAGCCACTGCAGGGAGGTATATAGCGATGGTATTTCTTTTTGTCCGCCAGCCTGACTGCTCTTTTTTTTGGTGGCCCGCCTTTTGGCTTTGGGAAACTTGTCACAGAGATTACGTCAGACTTTTCTACACTGATTTTCATCTGAGCCTAAAATGTCCGTGATCTCCCTCCATGAATTTCCTGCCATTTGGCGTCTTTATATTCACTGAGTGTCATGCCATATAGATGTTTGTATTTTCTCACCATTTTTGCCAGCTGTGAATCAAAACCATCCTTTTTTTTTCTTGCTCCTTACCACCAAGGAGGCAGCCGTTGGATCTCATGTGGCTGTTGCTTCAGCAGATAAACCACACTCTCATAAATAACCAGTCAGAGTGAAGATGTCGGACAGTGCTGCCGAACTGCTTAACAAAGTTCTGCTCAGCTGAGGTGTCGAGAACAAGCTGCAAGAACTGCTGAACAGGAGCTGCCTGAACAAAATGACGTCATTTTGTTCTGCCAGCCTTGGGAGCAAGAACAATGCTCTTATGAAGCATGAATAGGGTTTAAGAGTTAATTAACACTGCACTGGTATCAGGTTGATAACAGTTATCAGCAGACACTTATATCCGTAGTATCAGAATATGTATTGGAACTGAAAAAGCTGGATCGCTACATTCCTAAGTACAATAAGTCTGTAACAAATAAGGCTTTATTTATGCAAGTGTCTACATCAACAGTGAATTGAGTAGTTGTTAGAGTCATTGTAATGGTACAATCAGTGCATATAAACAGTATTGTCTCAGTTTAGTGCTTTTACTGCTTTTACTTCTTATTAAACAATATAATACAACATAATGTTAAAAAGGCTCTATCAGTAGTTTGTTTGGGGGCTTAAAGGTAGTAAGACACATAACTGCCATTTATGTCTCTTTCCTGGAGAGTTGTATTAGTCATTGTTGTGTGTTTCTCTGGAGAGTTATAATCCCCATTGCATTGTGGGACACAGGAGAGGTGCAATGCCCTGATGTAATAGAGCGAACCTAAACATGACGCCAATAGTCATTGTGCGTCAGTCATCTGCAGCATTGGGCTTTTGAAAGGGCAAAAGCAGATGGTAGTTTTTATCCTGGAATGAGTGAAGTGAGCTGATTCACCCGTGTTAGCGCTCCGTGTTAGCGCTTCCATTCATAAAACAGGACTAGTGCCGTTCGCGGAGCAGCTGCACATGCCAGGCACTATTCATTTTTCTGGATTGAATTGATATATTTTATCAGCTTTAATTATGCAAATCATATGCCAAAGATATTTCCTATCAAAACGGAAGAGGCACACTTGTTTTTCTCTGTAAACTTTCAGTCAGTACATTTCGCAATATAAAACAACACAGATTAGATTTCACAACTAATCTTGAGAAGACTCTCCCATAGATCAGGCATGAATTATATTCTGTCACTGCAAGTTAGACCATCCAGAGACTAAAACTAGTATTGAAACAAGATCTCATTTGAACAAGTATTGACACTGATGAAACTGCATAAATAGGACAATGTAGGATCTTTCCTTATTAAACAATCTATATATCTGAACTAGTAAGACCACATAATAATATTAATGCAAATACTATTTTTCAAAATGCCACTATGTAATATATGAATGTTTCTTAAGTGTAATAGTGATACTGAACGTGGTACTGACTGAGTATAGAACTTTTAATAATATCAAAAATCTAGTTTGAAATTGAATGATCTGGACAACACTGCAATAATTATTAGTCTGTATTCATTTGAGCTAGTCCTACACAATCACTTTCTGCTACTTTAACTTTTTATTGCTTGAGACACCATTTTGGATGATAGTATATCTAATACTGCATTCAATAACCATAAATATACTGATGATGCAAAGACCATCTATGTACGCTATGAACTTATGCCAGAGATCATGTTCTAGTGTCTTCTTAACTGGGTCACACCTTTCGTCTGTTCTCTTCTCCCCTGCTGCACATCTGCACAACCAAAGCGGTGTTTTGTGAAGAGTTAAATCAAAGTAGATGGGTCCTCTGACAGTGGGGTGATGAGATTCATGCACCAGTGCTTCAAAATGACAGGGACACAGCACATAATCATGTCTGGAGATAACCTGGATTTTGTCTTGATTTGTGTTTTATTTACTCAAACTTTCTGATCCCCACCTCACTCAATAAACCCACTTTTATGATGGTTGTTTGGTACAGGAAGATAAATTTGGCTAAATAAACAAGCTTTAGTATAAGGTAAAAAGCAATTGCTTGGAGGTGAAATTACAGCCATTGCTAACAAGAACAACACAATATTTTGGGTCAGAGTGGCCGTGGAAGGATTATTGCCTAGGTCTTCAGTCCGTTCTATTTTCTGTTCAAATGCAGAGGGTCTGGAACAACAAAGCGCATTAGAAAACCATCCAATATGGAAGAATATTGAAGATCCAATCAAGTGTAGTACGTGTTTCTCAACTACACAAAGACGTCTCCTCTCAAATATTCTTGTAGCCTTCAGAAAATAATACATAACTTATTTATGATTATGATTTGGTTTTCCTCATAGGCCGGCTTGTTTGTTTTGACACCAACATACCCTGTGTTCCTCTGATTGGTTAACCCGCCTGTCAGTCACGCCCATTGGAAATTTTTGAGAGAGGGATATTGAAAGAGAATTTTCCAGAGTCTTTGTGAAGTTTATAGTAAAAGAGTGTGGTCGTGGCTGGCCTGACAAAAAGGATTAGACACACCCTTTCTTAGCCTATGAGCTTTGGCTGAGAGAAATTTACTGAGAGACACCATTCACCCATCTAACTAAATATAGACCGTTTCAGAGCAGCATTAGAGGTAGTAGGAGTAATAGAAGACTGTGATATTTGAGTACTCACTAAAGCTCCCTGTATAGTACATTTATGCAAACATTTCTTCCATCACCCCACATCAGTGCAAACAAACCATTGTATTTGAAAATCTTGTTTGCTTTAAAACAGCCTCAGAATCACACCTGGAGAGAAACTGAATATAAACCCTGCTCAGTGTCAGCCCAGACAGCTCTCCATGAAAAGAAACAGCAGAAAGTCAATGGCAGTATATTGGCAATAGAAAATAGTAAGTGCTCGCAGACAGCCAATCGATAGCTATAGCTGGAGGAGGCCACGGTGGCACACTTCCTTGCCTCATGTTTGTTATTCATTCATAGCAGCACAACAGGAGTCTCACGGTGCATGCTTACAAAGAACTCAAGAACACAGCTCCGAAATGTCAGATAAGACTTACCCGCCGTGAAGTTGTAGCTCGCAGAAAATCCGACCGCTTCCAGCTCTCCGTCCGTGACAAACTTTATCCACAGGTATCTCCCACTACTCCTGATGTCGGGGGGACTTTGTTGACCGCAGTAGCGTCCGAGCATGGGGCTGAAGCCGAAAGGTCCATCCCTGACTTCGATGTTGTCAAATTTACATTCCCAAGAGGATTCGATTGAGTAGTTCTCCTCAAAGTGTAGATCGATGCATTGTCTTGGTGGAGCTGCGAGACACAATACAAATAATTATAGTCGAAAGGCTATAGAAGAAGGCAGCCAAACGTTTGCCAGACACGTAAAAGCTGTAGCGTTATCAGCGCACTCAATACTGATCTCTAATGTGATGCTCCATCAATGCATTTGGACAAGAGCCTGACAATTGTAATTATAGAGCAAATGGTTTAAACGTCTTAATTACATTTTAATTAGAATTTTAAAGTTATCATTTCCGTTCAATTATCTGCCAATAGCTCCATGTAGGCCTGTCACGATAATTACTATACAGACTTATCGTTCAATACCTGAAAGCTGAAACAATATATTTTGCGGCTCAATATTTATCGTGAGAGATTTTAGCCAGTTTCCTCTACTACAGTGAGATCTGAGCTGTAGACTGCAGAATAACTAACTTCTATGGCAAATTATTAGCTCATTATACCTTTTAATGTTACTGTCTATTTAAAAATTGGTTCACTGTGATTATCCTGCTTTGTGTCAGAGGCACAAAAAAGTTTCAATACCATAATTTATCACAATACTTCTCTTGTAGTGACATATCGTATTGCTATCGTGACAAGCCTAGTTCCATGAAAAAACAGCCAGATGAGTAACTGTGTGAATTTTGAGATGTCCATATAATAGCTGTTGGCTCTGAGGTACTTGGAGCTCAAATTACTTGAATATTTTGCTCCTCTTATAGGTATACAATAAAGTTATACATCACATATTATTCTGTTTTTGACAATGGGTTTTCAATGTCATAGTGAAAGCCTTTTTTAAACATGAGCTGTACAGTAAAAGTAATCAGTGATCAAGTCCAGCAGTTAGAAACTACTGCTTAAAGTGACGGCTTAATACAACTTTACTGATTCACTGGCTGATTGGTCCCACCTACCTTCAAGGATGTAAACGCACTCGGTGTCTGGGGGGTATTTGTTGGGGTAATTGGGAGAAGTGAACAGCCCTCCGTCTGGTTCTTTCACCCATGTCCCACACTGACCTGCAGGCTTCACTCCAGAATTGTTTTTCACTGTAATAGAAGTACACAGCAAATACAATTTACTTTAACCATGAAGAAAGATTCTATTGTATTTCAGGTTACAGCTATAGATCGTAGATTTAACCTGCAAGTTCCTTCTTCGTTGCCCCAGACAACCCCAGTATGAGAAGACTTACAGCAACAACTGAAAGAAAGGGAGCAAAATGGTGACACAGAAGATTTTGTATTTTTCCCTCACAGCTTCATTCCTGTTTAGTGAGGTTTGAGTCAGCAAAGGGTTAATTATGGATTGGCAATTTCATGACCATTATCTGCAGCTAGTATAGGCTAAATCTTCTGAAATGTTGCTGTTTTTGCTCAATATTGTCTTTGGACACTGGCCAATGGTATTACGCTCAGAATGTGAACATCATTAGTTTGTGTATTTAAGAAACTATTCCAATTTAGTGCCATTTTATTCTGATTTTGTATTCATTTATCATTTTAAACCAATAAAACTGAACCAAATCTCCCATTCGCATTTAGATCTGGATAGCTTGATATTTTTTTTTTTTTTTTTTTTTTTTTTTTTTTTTGCGCGTTTAGCTCAAAGTAGAAAAAAAACATAAGCAGCGAATGTCTTACCGCGATGGAAGCTGTGTCCATGTACCATGTCTATTCCTTTCACAAACCGCTTCAGGTCCAACTAATTCCATTTAGATGTAGAAATACTTGGAGAAGAAAAAAGATTTAGAAAGAGTTTGCGGAGATTGACAAAGCGCCCATGCCAAACATTCTGCGCTATAGAAAAACAAACAAACAAACAATGATACTCCAGAAATATGTAGTTTGAAGAAGTCCTCTCTCCTCCTCCTGACTAGTCAGCAGTTTCGTATAAAACCCAAAGCAATCTCAAAGGTTTCCATCCAAACGTTTCCAAAACCCTGCGGTGCGTTTGATGCACTGACAGGATTAATAGTCCCGTCATGAGCCCCTTCTAATCGCTCCACCTTTGCGCCCTTCTTTTTAAAAATATCATGGACAATCTCGTTTGTCCCCTTATCAAGACGAGATTGGGTCCTGTAGACGCACGTAAACCCGCGTAGTAGTCATTCCCGCTTCTGCGTCGTTTTTGTGCTGCGTAAAAATCCCGTGGGTGCTCTTTGGCGTTTCATTAACCACGACTGGTGTTCCTCAAGAGCGTGCAGCCCCGTGCCTTGGCTCCTCTCATCTGGAGAGTCCCTGCACCCAGCGCGGGTTATGTACGATCTCTCCCCCCTCCTCTCTCTGTTCATTCACCACTACAAACGACCAATGCGCCAAGAGCCACGCGTACTTCTCACGCGCGCTCTAAAACTTTTATATTCATTAGGACTGGACTAATATCCGAGAACAGCAGTCTGAAAGTGGAAGTCATTTCAACTCGAAAGCGACTGAATCGGGTGCGCAACGTCTCTTCTAAATAAATAAATATATGGACTACACCAAAGAGCATGGGCGCAGAAAATATTATCTCAATGATTATTATTTATTTATTTTACTATAAATAATTTGGATTATTTATTGAATGAATGATTTTAGTTAGATTTGATTTTCACAACTTTTCCCCATTGTAATTAAATTAAACTTTTTTAATGTACCTGTTTTTTTGTTTTTTTTGTTTTTGTTTTTGATATTGTATTCGTTTTTAGGAGACAAACACTGACAGACCATGTCACTCTCCATTACTCTTTTGATGTATTTTTGACTCAGTCCACTCTTCTGCAGTTTCCAATTTAGAGAGGGAATTGAGAGGTAAAGTGCTATTTTTTCCTACCTCCAAAAAACTTGGGAAGAGCTATTACTTTCAGGGGGTGTGAGTGTCAAGATACGCCTTGGCTCCTCCACTGTGTGTGTGCTATGTATATAGTATAGTGTGTGTGTGTGTGTGTGTATGTGTGTGTGTGTGTGTGTGGGGGGGTGTGTGTGTGGATGTGTGTGTGTGTGCTGCACTCAGAGCCGATGACAAAGCTGATCAGAGCCTGCTCAGGGACAAGTCACGGGCTCAGGATCCCAAAATAGTGTTGGCACCCAGCGCAAAATATCCATCTTCAGATACTCCTCTGCTGCAGTGGCGAATGGCAATCTCCCACTCAGTCCTTCAGCGTGTGTGAACACTCCGAGCTCTTTTTGGTTCCACTCAACACTGAGACTGAAACTGTTCAATGGAGTTTCTTTGTATGTTGTAGATCTTCTTAAAGCTTTATTAAATTCCCAAATATGATTATACAAAGTATATAAAAACTCTACAACCATATTGAAACCCTGTGTAAACCGTGATGAATCTGAGCTGTAGAGCTCAGTCACTCCCATTTATCCAGATTTGGAACATAAATAGTAAGGAAGTAACAATGAACAAAATATTGTATTATAAAGCACTTTGCTTTTCAAGCAATGCAAAGGACATAATTTCTACAATTCTGTTAGCTTACTCATTGTGATAATACAGTCATGTGGTTTGTATATTGTTACATCCCCAATAAGTCGGCTACACCTCGGCCCTGTGACCTCATGAGTAGACGGTATTAGTTAGTGATGTGATGTTCATGAACAAGTTGGTTCTTTTCAATGTTTCCTTCAATCAATCAATCAAACTTTATTTATAAAGCGCTTTTCATACAAAAACGTAACACAAAGTGCTTTACAGTGATTAAAAACAATCCCGCATTTCCATCCACCCACCCACTTATCCAACCCCACACCTGCCCAACTCCACACAACCAAACAACCCAGACACGCACACCCACTCGCACACACACGCACACACACACACACACACACACACACACACACACACACACACACACACACACACACACACACACACACACACACACACACACACACACACACACACACACACACGCACACACGCCCTAAGATAGTAAAATACATAAAATCCCCTATAGTAAAATGTGAGGCTGAATACAGGCGAACCAGTTGAGAAAGCACCATCAGAGGAGCCGTCTACATCAGAAGCAGAGAGTCGTCCACCACCACCAGGAACCACCACAGGGTCCAGGGGAGAGATGAAGCCCAAGCACCAACTCTCCACCAGGAGCCCACGGGACAGAACCCAGCAGCCACAGCTGACCTCCGCTCCCGATGCAGAGGCTCCTACAGAAGAAACACTGGAAATCCTAAAAAATATGCCTAAAATAAATAAATATACTAAAATGTGTACAATAGAAACAGGTAAAAGTATAAGAATTTAATCAAAAGCTAAGATAAAAAGGTGGGTCTTGAGCCTGCTCTTAAAAACATGAATGTTCTGTGCAGCCCTGAGCTCCTTCGGCAGGCAGTTCCATAGACGGGGGCCATAATACTGAAAAGACGCCTCTCCGTGAGTGTGTGTCCTGACTTTGGGAATGAGCAGGAGCCTGCTGCCGGAGGAGCGCAGGGTCCGCGAGGGTTTGTAGGGTAAAAGCAGTTCTGAAAGATAAGAGGGCCCAAGACCATTAAGACATTTAAAAACCAGTAAAAGAACTTTAAAATCGATCCTGAAACACACAGGGAGCCAATGCAGTGATTTTAAAACCGGTGTAATGTGGTCCCGCCCTCTGGTCCTAGTCAGGACACGTGCTGCTGAATTTTGTAATAATTGCAAACCTGAAATACACTTTTTGGGAAGACCAGAGAGCAGGGCATTACAGTCGTCTATTCGACTGGTGATAAAAGCATGCATCAGCGTCTCTGTGTTAGCCAGAGAGAGAATGGGGCGGACTCTGGCTATGTTTTTTAGGTGATAAAAAACAATTTTTGTGATGTTCTTAATGTGTGGTATAAAAGTCAGCTCAGAGTCAAAAATGACACCCAGGTTTTTTACTTGAAGAGAAGGGTTAAAAGACTGTGCTTGTAGTTTGGGTAAAAGTTTCTTTCTCTGGGCCTCAGGACCAATGACTAAAACCTCAGTTTTGTCCTGGTTAAGCTGGAGAAAGTTTTCTGCCATCCAGGATTTGATTTCTAGAATGCAGTTAAAAAGGGCATCCATTGGTCTGGTGTCATCAGGAGACATGGAGATGTAAAGCTGCGTATCATCTGCATAGCTGTGGAAGTTGATTCCATGTCTCCTGATGACACCACCAAGAGGGAGCATGTACAAGTTAAAAAGCACAGGGCCTAAAATGGAACCCTGGGGCACACCACATGTGATTTTATGGACCCTGGAGGAGCATGTGTCTACACTCACCATAAATGTTCTGTCTGTGAGGTAGGATGTGAACCATTTGTGAACAGCACCGGAGAGGCCGAGGTCTTTTAGGCGAGTTAAAAGAATAGTGTGGTCTACTGTGTCAAAGGCACAATGTGAACAGTTGGTCATGCTCCTTAAAATTTTTATACTGATTAAAGCTGAACCAACACAAGAATCAGCACAGAAGCAGAGTAGGCTTTGTGCACGAAAAACATATTTGATAATTATAACAGTTTTTTTAGTTTTAATAATTATTATTGTAGTGCATCGTTTTTATAGTAATTTTCATCATTTCAAAGGGTAAAGACGCCCCCACTCTCAGTTTGAACCATTTGAACAAATTTTTGCTTTGGTCATTTCTCTCTGTGATTAGTTTGTAGATAAAATGAGTCTCTAATTGGCTTCTGTCATATAAATAAATATAACAAAGAGCCAGTGTTTTGAATGGCTCTTTGAAGTGAACAGGCCCAAAAGATTCGGATCCCACAAAGCGGCTGAAATTACCATCACTAGTAGTAATACAGTCCATGATATTTATTTATATATGGGTAACATGATATTGAAATTTCAAAATCAAGGACTATTTTCTCTTTTTGTCATGGGACTGTGGATTACACCCTGCAATACAAAGAATGCAACCTTTCCTTACACGTATGCACACCGCACACAGCTCACTCAAAGTGTCTCCCAAACAGCACAACACAATAGAAAGGAATTTAAAAATGTCCATTTCTGAGCGAAGGAAAAGCTTATTATAGATTATAGTCTGCAACAAAATTCTATGCAGTCCCTGAAGCTTGTTATTGATGAACTGTGGGGCTGCAACAACTTTGTGAGCACAACAGGCGCGCATTTGTGATGGTAAACCAAAGATGAAGCAGAGGAGCTATGGGAATTATTCAAATGAGGCTTATCAGGCAGACTGTAAACGCAACAGTAGCCCCAGTGGTGAATTTAACAGCAGACTCCACTTTACATCACAGCCATGTACAAGCTGTCTATGAGTCGGCCATTTTTAATTAAGGAAGTCTACAGCACAGAACGTGTTTATTGTGCTTACTTGGCTTCAACACATTTGTAATTCAAGTCATGGTACTTTTTGCTTCGAGTATTTTTCATTTTTGATTATTGCTGTTAGGGATCATAGGTGCCTGGAGCGTTCTTGAATGTGGTTTTGACAGGCCATGAACAGTTTATGAAAAGGGCTCCACACAAAGATACTGGCAAACACTTTAACCATATCAGAAAAAAAAAAAAAAAAGTTTTATTTCCATTGTCAGTGAACAAAAGTCACAAACTAGGAATGCGCTTTGGCAACAAGATAAAACAATGAATAATAAAGTACAAAATATATTTAAAAAAAGATCAAATAAAGGCATGCACAAAATAAGTTCTTAAAAAAAAAAAACAACTTTGATCACAAATAGAAATTAGTGCAAAATTGGCAGTGCAAACTTAAACACTGAGTTGTGAGTTGTTTAAAGTGACAGGGGTCATATGAAATGTTCAAGAACTTGTCAAAAAATGATGATGAACAAAAGGATGCCAAAACTGTATTAACTTGTGTGATGAAAAGTTTGATGAAAATTCATATCAAGCTAAACTATTAAAATACTAAACTTTAAAGAGCGAATATTTGACTTCTATGGGGTATTGAATTAGTGTGATTCATCGGCCGGTTT